TCTTTCGAGAATGCGCTGTGCTTGTGTCCTCTTTGCCAATCAGAGTGAGCCGCTTGGGGACTTTCGTCCATGTACATGTTGTGTCAGTGTGAACGATAGAACCCTGAGAGTGGTGACTTCCCCACCCGGAGCCATGGGACGTGATTCCTTTGTCAGACATTCTGATTGGTTCCTGGCTTCCCTCTGCGGTGGTCTTCCCTCTGCGGTGGTCTTCCCTTTGAAGTGGTCACATGCCTGTGTGTAGGTCTGGGGGCTCCATGAACAGCAGGAATCAAGGACACTGACATTCTGCCGGCTGCCGGTAAACTCCTGCTGTGTAGATTCAGCGTGGTAATGGGGCGAAGAGAGTCTCGTGGTGAGAAATACTCTGGGTGAGAATGACCCTCTGTGTCTCCTTTGTCCTTCACGGCCCATGAAGCACAGGCGGAACATGAGGTGCAAAGGTCAGGGAGCTGATGAGCATCGACGAACAAAATCTTCCTGAGGAAGGGCCGGGTGCAGTGGCTCACGCCTGTAATCCCAGCATGTTGGGAGGCCAAGGCGGGTGCATCACGAGGTCAAGAGATCAAGACCATCCTGGCCAACATGGTGAAACCCCATCTCTACTAAAAATACAAAAATGAGCTGGGTATGGTGGTGCGTGCCTGTAATCCCAGCTACTCAGGAGGCTGAGGCAGGAGAATCACTTGAACCGGGGAGGCGGAGGTTGCAGTGAGCTGAGATCGTGCCACTGCACTCCAGCCTGGGCAACAGTATCTTCTTTATTTCAGCACTTACTTTCTGTAAGCTATGGCTGTTGACCGTTCCTTTTTGAAGTTCTGAGTTGTACTAAAATGTTTATGTATAATGTGTGGAGAAGCACTTGATTTACTGAGGCCTTTTGATGATAAGAACTCACAAAGGGTTTTAGATCAAGGGTGGCTTCATTGAAAAAACTCCTCTGACATCAGCCAGCAACCGCGTTTTCTTTAAAGACTCTCAATCTCAGCTTTTCCCTGGATGAGAGAGGAATGGGTTGTTGGCTACTTCCTGGCTGTCTGTGGTGGTCGTATGGCTGGTGGGCCCAGCTGTGCTGAATGGCTGTGTTGGCGCTTGCTGGGCTTGCTTTGGCTGGCACGGATGCCTAAGTGGAGGACAGGTGTGAGGGGTGGGAGTTGGTGCTGATGTCTTGTGAACCCCGGGGGAGCACTGAGCTCCATGTATGTATGGATTGGTCCTGTGGGTCACTACAGACTGGGCTGGAGGTGGCAGCAGAGGCATGTGGCATTGGGTAGTCCAGGAATCAAGAAGGCCCCCTGGACTGTGAACTCCCAGAGAACGGGTATTGTTCTCGTGCACCCTCAGAGCCCCAGCCTGGGGCAACGCTGGGCATGCTGGAAACCAAAATACCTACTTATTAAATGTCAGCAGCTGAGCCACAAATGGCAATATGCAGAATAAAGAAGGTGGTGCTTCAAGGGAGAGGAGTGAAATCAAGGGAGGAAAGAGAAGAGGGGCCCTCAGAACCAGGGGTGGCTCATGCGATTTCTGGAGAGTGGATGTGTCCCTAGGTCAGAGCCAAATCCAGACTCCAAGGTCTAGCATCGAAAATAAACTGTGATGTGCAGACATGACTTCTCTCTCTCTTTTTTTTTTTTTTTTTTTTTTTTTTGAGATGAAATCTTGCTCTGTTGCCTGGCTGGAGTGCAGTGGCATGATCTTGGTTCACTGCAACCTCCACCTCCTGGGTTCAAGCGAATCTCCTGCTTCAGCCTCCCGAGTAGCTGGGACTACAGGTGCGCGCCACCACACCTGGCTAATTTTTTCCTATTTTAGTAGAAATGGGGTTTCACCATGTTGGCCAGGATGGTCTCGATCTCTCCTGACCTTGTGATCCGCCCGCCTCGGCCTCCCAAAGTGCTGGGATTACAGGCGTGAGCCACCGCGCCCGGCTGACATGACTTCTCTTAGGGCTGCCTCCTTTCTGTGGCACTTCCTCCATATGATTGGGTTAACAAAAATATTCTAAATAAGCAACTGATCTGAGGCTTTTTGAAACCAAACAGTTTGGTGCCTTGAAAGCATAAGCCATTGGTTATGTGAGAAAAACAAGAAACTGTATCTTTGCGTATATTGGAGCACAAATCCCGTTTGAATGAATGAACATTTCCTGGTGAAAACATGGGGTTGGAACCCTTCTGTGTCTGTGAGAGAATAGGAATCTGTTGATGGATATGGCTCTTTGGCTTAAAGTGAAAAATCATGAACTGGTGGTCAAGAAGTCTAGGCATAGTCCACGCTTTTAACCCTCTGGGACCTGTGTATCTGTAAACTGAGGTGACACTGTGTTCTGAAACGGTCCCTGAGGGGCCCTTTCAGGTCCTGCTACACCTCTGAGTTGTGATTGGAGACTCGCTGGCCCTGTCACTGAGGAAGTCACCTCGAGGCATCACTTCCTCAATGAGATTCGAGGCTCGCTGGACCTGAACCTCCCGCCGCTTCCCATCATTGTGTCTGGCTGTCTTGTGTCTCCCTCCTGAGCCACCCCTTGCTGCTGCAGTGTGAGGAGGCCTCTTGATTTATTAATCAATTAATCAGTGCACACTGAGGGGCTGTTCAGGGTAGTTAAACAGGGAAAACAAAAAGCTGGAGCCTGTAATCAAGATGGATCATAATTAAGAACCACCCCCCAACTGCTGCTCTTCCTGCCCTGCTCACTGCCTCACAGCTCCCTCCCCGCCTACAGCTCATCAAACCGCCTTCAGCTCTGATGGGGCTTCTACCCCATACAAGCCGACAGTGAATTTCAGAAGGGCCCATTTTCTCCCTAATGTGCTAGAGGGAAATAAGCCCTTAGATGAGCTTTATCCATTACCTGCAACGACCGTTGAGCCCCCAAAATGGCATCGTAGCCCTGTTCATGTATGCACAGACCATACTCTCCTCTCCCCATTCCCCATGAATGGAGTCATGGAGCTGGAAGGTCCTTCCCATCAGGAAAGGCCATGGCCCTGTGTGACAGACGAGAGGTTCAGTGAGGCTAAGTGAGTTGTCTGAGGTCACTACAGAACTGCAACATTGGGCCGGGCACGCTGGCTCATGCCTGTAATCCCAGCACTTTGGGAGGCCGAGGCATGTGGATCACGAGGTCAGGAGATCAAGACCATCCTGGCTAAGACGGTGAAACCCCATCTCTACTAAAAAAAATACAAAAAACTAGCCGGGCGAGGTGGCGGCGCCTGTAGTCCCAGCTACTCGGGAGGCTGAGGCAGGAGAATGGTGTGAACCCGGGAGGCGGAGCTTGCAGTGAACTGAGATCCGGCCACTGCACTCCAGCCTGGGTGACAGAGCGAGACTCCGTCTCAAAAATAAAAATAAAAAAAAAGAACTCCAATGTCACAAGTGGCAGAACTGGAAACCATCTGATACTCAACGAACACTCCTCGTGCTCGTTTCTCTGTGTAATCCTTAAGCCAAGTAAATAAGCGACATTGTTCTCATTAAATCCATTTTCTGATTTCTTTTTCATAGGGGTCTCTGAGCTAGATTTTTATTTTATATATAAACATTTTATAAACATATATTATATATATAATAATAATATATAGTATTTTATAAGGTTTTCTGTCTATGTTGCTCAGGCCGGTCTCAAACTTCTGGCCCCAAGGGATCCTTCAGCTTCAGCCTCCCAAGTAGCTGGGATTATGGGTGCCAGCCACCGCACCTGGCAAGATTATATTTTTTAGAGACATGTCGGTTGCTCAGGCTGGAGTGCAGTGACGCTGTCCTAGCTCACCGCAGCCTCAGACTCCTGGGCTCAGGCAATTCTCCCACATCAGGCTTCTGAGTGGCTGAGGCTACAGGTGTGTGCCACAGTGCCTGGCTAATTTTTAAATGTTTTATAAAGATGGGGTCTTACTATGTTGCCCAGGCAGGTCTTTGAACTCCTGGCGTCAAGTAGTCCTCCCACCTCAGCCTCCCAAGGTGCTTGGATTACAGGCCTGAACCACTGTGCCCAGCTGATACTTTGTAATAGTAGTTTTAGATGAAGTTTGAAGGGAAAGCCTATCTTGGACTGTTTTGCTTTGGTGGGTTAGAATATCAGATACCTGGATAGAGACATGGCCAGCTTCCCTAGGGCAAATAGTAAACATGAGTTAATCTACACAAGTTTGCTCGGCTGCTGGTACAGGCTGGATCTCTGGGCCAGAATCCGTTCGGTTTGCTTCTGTTCCAGTGGTACTTAGCACACAATGCTGATAAGGCCAAGATTTTCTTAGAACACAATCTCTGTTCGAGGTTGCAAGTTGCACCTCCATCTGCTACTAACTTTCTGTGGTAACAGGAGGCCAAGGGGCCTCAGTGCAGCAGTCCAGATTGCACTCACCCCGCGTCATGCCTGGACAAACGTTTGTTCCTTCTAATTGAACACCTTGGGAGAGCCCAGGGATGGCTATCATTCTTTAGTGGACATAAGAATAAGAATGTTCTTGCCAAGCGTCGTGGCTCACGCCTGTAATCCCAGCACTTTGGGAGGCTGAGGCGGGCGGATCACGAGGTCAGGAGATCGAGACCATCCTGGCTAACACGGTGAAACCCTGTCTCTACTAAAAGTACAAAAAATTAGCTGGGCGTGGTGGTGGGTGCCTGTAGTCCCAGCTACTCGGGAGGCTGATTGAACCCAGAGGCAAAGGTTGCAGTGAGTCGAGATCGTGCCATTGCACTCCAGCCTGGGAGACAGGGCGAGACTCTGTCTCAAAACAAACAAACAAACAAACAAACAAATGTACTTGTTTGACCGGCCTGGCGAAGAAGATACTTAGAAGTCTTTTTTTTTTTTTAACTTCTTTTTAAAAGTTTTCACTATAAAATTCTTACATTTGTCAAATGTGTTTATCAAAAATGGAGGCTTTTCTGCCAATGTAACTTCTCATTTCTGTTGAATGCCAATCAAACTATCAAACTCTTGAGCAGCCTTGGAGTTATAGAATCTCCCTTTCCTCTGCTTCTGTGTTCTCTAGGACCCTGCTTTCTCGGCTGTGATTCACGACAAACTCCAGGTCCCCAACACCATCCGGAAGGCATGGAATGACCGGGACAACCGCTGTGACATTTGCGCCACTCACCTGAACCAGCTGAAGCAGGAGGCCATCCAGATGGTGCTGGCCTTGGAGCAGGCAGCTGGCAGTGAGCACTACGACGCCTCGCCCGGCTCCCCGCCACTGCTCTCCAACATCCCCACCCTGGTGGGGTCCCGGCACGTGGGTGGGCTCCAGCAGCCCAGGGACTGGGCCTTTGTGCCTGCCCCCTATGCCACCTCCAACTACACAGGCTTCGTCAACAAGCACAGCAGCAAACCCAGCAGCCTTGGGGTCAACAATGGGGCGGAAAAGAAGAGTGGATCCCCCACCCACCAGGCCAAGGTCAGCCTCCAGATGGCCACCAGTCCAAGCAATGGGAACATCCTCAATTCAGTGGCCATCCAGGCTCACCAGTACCTGGATGGCACCTGGTCCCTGTCGAGAACCAACGGGGTCACCCTGTACCCATACCAGGTAAGTAGCCTGGGTGAGCCAGGAAGAGCAGGGCTGGCTCGAGTCAAAGCAGAGAAGTGGGCAGCACTTCCTTCCTCTGCCTCCTCCTGGGAACTCAAAGCCTAGCGTTTCCATGTGGCCCCCACAGAGTTCTCATCAAGGTGCCCCACCCAGACCCGCCTGCTTTGAGAGGGTGCTGCTGTATCCTCCAAACCTTCCCCACCTCCCCTTTCTCCACTCTTCAGTGTCTCCTTCCTGAGAGACCCTGCTGGTCCAGACGATGCCAGCAGCTTCCCAGCCAGCAGGTTTGCCACATGGCATAGCCATGAAGAGGTAGGCCACAGAGATCCTTGGACTGGGGTCCAAGCCCCGACTTGGCCACTTATTAGCAGTGTGACTTGTCACAAGGGGTTTGCCCTGTCTTAGGCTCAAGTCCCTCATTTATAAATGGATGTGAGTCATGAAAATTAAATAAGGTAGTGTTTGCATGACATGTAGGCCAATATCTGCCATATAGTAGGGAATCATTGTTGTGCCTGTTAACAGAGATTTTAGATGTTAAGGCAGATGAGTGAGAGGCTTTTGAACGAAAGGATATTGTGAGTCCCAGGAATCATGGTTTTAAAGCCACCTGTGGAAGTGTTGGACATTGCTAAGAATAAAATATATGAAGGAACAGTGATCCGTGTTGGCACTCTGCTTCCTTTGTCTGTACCTTCCAAAAGAGGTATAGACGCCCTTCTTAACCTCTCCTCACTTGACAGACCCAAACTGTTTTCTATTTGCAACTCACCTTGAGAACTATTGGTACTGGGCTGCCAAAAGTGCATTTTCCTTTTCAGTTATTTGAATTAGCACATGCCCCCAAGTTTCCCCATAGAAATAAAAAACAGGTCTTAAATCTCCCAGGGAATCTAAAGATGATCTGATTTTGCCTGGGTGAGTTTTCTGTTGGATGAGGACTGGATTTTGACTGTAAGTGGCCTCTATCCCCTGCATCAGTGGTGTGGGAAGCAGCAGAGAGCACTGACCGTCACTGGAATGGAGAGGCGGCCACGGGCAAGGATGTATTAGTCAGAGAAGGTAGTTGGTATATAGAGCAAAGGATCCTAGAGAGCTCAGGTTCTTTCTCACTTAGGTCTGGATATAGGGGGTGTTTGGTGGGTGGCCTTCCGCTGTGACGTGAGCACTCAGATTTCTTCCACCAAATGTGTCACCATCTTCCAGGGGCCTCAAGAGTCCTTCACCAGACCTTCTGTAACCAGCCGGGAAATGAGGGGAGAAGGCATGTGTGGAGGATCTCACAGGAGGATTTGGGGCCCGGCTTTGCCTGGAAGGCATGTGCATTGCTTACATCTTTATTCTGGGTGGATCACGAGGTCAGGAGATCGAGACCATCCTGGCTAACACGATGAAATCCCGTCTCTCCTAAAAATACAAAAAATTAGCCGGGCATGGGGGTGGGCGCCTATAGTCTCAGCTACTCGGGAGGCTGAGGCAGAGGAATGGTGTGAACCCGGGAGGTGGAGCTTGCAGTGAGCTGAGATCGCGCCACTGCACTCCAGCCTGGGAGACAGAGCACGAATCTGTCTCAAAAAAAAAAAAAAAAAAAAAGAATTCAGTCTCTGCCGGGCGTGGTGGCTCACACTTGTAATCCCAGCACTTTGGGAGGCTGAGGTGGGTGGATTGCTTGAGCCCAGGAGTTGAAGACCAGCCTGGGCATCATAGAGAAAACTGGTCTCTATTAAAAATACAAAAATTAGCCAAGTATGGTGGCATGCGCCTGTAGTCTCACCTACTTGGGAGGCTGAGATGGGAGAACTGCTTGAGCCTGGGAGGCAGAGGCTGCAGTGAGCTGAGATCGCACCACTGCACTCCAGCCTGGGTGACAGAGCAAGACTCTGAATCAGGAAAAAAGAAGCGTGAGAGAGAGAGAAATAGACAGACAATTTAGTCTCTTGACCCCACCTTCCCACTGGAGAAGCTGGGGAAGCCGGTCTACCCATGAGACCAGGAGAAAAAGGAACAAGTTGAGTGAACACATAGCATAGTTTTGTTATGCTGGACAAGGTATAGGGAAACATGAAGTGAGTTAAATGTGGTTGATAAAATTCCTGGTGACTTTTTCTAGAGTGTTTGAGAGTGTTCGTGTCTCTTGCTATCTTGAAAGAAAGTGGGAAGCATTGATCATTATCCTAAGACATTAGCATTCTTGGATTGTCGAACTTTTCACTTAACTGGGTGCTTTCTAATTTACAAAATCTAACATATACATGATTTCACTGAACCCCACAGTAGGCCTATGAGGTAGGTGGGGCAGGTGTTAGATCTTCCTTTTACAGATAAGGAATATGCTGCTTAGCGAAATGGCCGCACAGCCCACGGCAGAACCAGCACTGGCTCTCCCCGTACCCGGGGAGTGGCTTTGCCTACCACGGCTTCTTCCAACTTTCCTAGGCTACCCCAAAGTAAGCTGTCAACATCTTTTCCAGATATGGTTCCTTTTCAGACCTGTGTCACAAAGAAAAGAACTCATTTTACCTGCCGGGGCCTCACTGCCCCTAGACTTTTGGATAGAATTTTCTGGGATGTGTATGTAAATATAATGAGGAACCAGTGGCGTCCTGCGGGGTGCTTCACGGTCTAATCTTGGAAGTAACCATCTAGGGCAGGAACAGAGAAGGGCTTCTTTGCATCATGGGATGATTTGCTTTTTTTTTTGTTTGCAGTTTTAAAATATACCATTTACAAAATTATAAAAAGTAACATGTTTGTTGTAAAACAAAATTTAAAATGCATGAGAAAATTTAAATAAGACTTTAGAAGTTGATGTCACCCAGATACAAACTACGTAACATTTGGGGATACCTCCTTCTAGCATTTCATACACTTCCAATTTGTAAAATTGTGACCAGGTTCAATTCTGTCACCTGCGTTTCACTGAATCCATTGGGTCCATTTCCCCACGCCGTTACACGTTTCCCTAAAATATTATCTTTAGCAGTAGCGTATTTCATTATATGAATATTATCCACACTATGGAGATGTCCTAATTTATTAGGTTGGTGCAAAAGTCATTGCGGTTTTTGTTTCAACAGCAAAAACTGCAATGACTTTTGCACCAACCTAATACATAACCAAACATCAATTAATTAGAATTCAGGTCTTTGCTACTGTAAATAAAATGCTCAGATGAACATCCTTTTACCCAGGCCATAGTTTCCACACATCCCTGGGTTGTGTGAGCCACATGCTCATGTTACACAGACAACTCACATTTCACCTTCCAGGACCCCGAAGCTCTGTGTCACACGCACATTGGCTGTGCGGCCATTTCGCTAAGCATCAGGGGCCGGTTAGAAGACTCAGTGACTGCGCCAGGGCTGATGATCGAGGACAGATGAGCATGAAACTGGTGCTTCCTATAAAATATTCAAAGTGAGGTGAAAGTTTGTGTGTAAGGTGGAAACACTGAAGATGCTGCTTCAACGGCTGGTTAGGGATTATTTGTGCGTTTCTTTTATTTGTGCAATGATTCTTTTCCTCGTCTTTCTTCCCAAACTCAGATGAAAGAGAATTCGCTGTACAAGTATTTATTCATCTCTAACCAAGTACCAGGCACTGTGCTAGGTGGTGGGTGGGGCTGCAGCCGTGGGCTGGAAACCCTGATTCCCGTCCTAAGGTCCTCACCGTGGGACAGAAGGCAGGTGAGTGCAGAGGTGAAGAGATGCCCCACTGCTTTGGGGGCATGCAGACAGGCTCCTAATCCTGCCCAATGTGGCACAACCAGATACAACCAAGATTCACACGAGCCGCCAGCTTGTGGTCGTCCTGGGTACGTTATGTTGCTTCTTTCCAACTTGAGAACAGACCAATTCACGCATTTCCCCTGAGTAATAAAGGGACCAGAGGAAATCTCTCTGGGATCAAGAGATTTGGTGCCTGGCTATGAATCCGCGTCCCCTGTGTTGTGACTGTGTCGTCCTGACGCCCCGGGGTGGGGGCTCTGGGTCTGGCCAGACTGAGTGTCTCCTGTTGCGGACATCTCCCTGCAGTAAATATTGTGCAGTTCGCAGTCTAGCCAGCTCGTCAGAGATGGTTGACTGCTCTGAAAGCTGACCTCATTTTTCCTGCTCACCCGTACTCCCACTTTCCTCCCCACAAAGCAGATGGCCTCTGGATCAGTGCCAGAGCCGTTCCCTGGGCAGAGAAGCATCTAGACCTTGTCACTACCACAGGCGCAACTCCACACCCGCAGAACCCGAGCCTCTAGAAAATGACTCTTCCCTCCTGCAATTTAGATGTAGCGAGGATGCGGACAGGCCTTCCAGCAGTGAGCCTGGTGGGACCCGCGTCACGCGGGTGATAGAATGGTCCCGCGAATCCCTCAATCCCTGTGACCCACACCACTGTGTCATAATCTCCAAAGGCTGTGGTAGGAAGATTCTCGATTCTCTTTTGATATATCCTTCACATTTCTAAAGTACCTCCAGAAAGCCCAGGAACCTGTAAGCAACACAGATAAATAGGAATCGATCCAGAGAGATTTTAAAAAGAGTCATTTAGGAAGTACTGAGATGACATCAAAAACGTTGAACAAACCACAAAGATAAATCTTATTAAATACCTTAGAAATTTGATTTAATAGAAGATTATAAGATGGGCTTTCAAAGAAAGACTTTCTTCTGTTCATCTGCAGACATCTACCATAATCTATACACACAGAGAAAGCAGAAAATTCTCTAGCACAGGGGTCCGCAGACCCCAGGCCACAGATTGATATGACTCTGTGGCCTGTTAAGGAGCCAGCTGCAGAGCAGGAGGTGAGTGGCGGATGGGTGGGCATTACCTCCTGAGCTCCATCCCCTGTCAGAGCAGCAGTGCCATCAGGTTCTTCCAGGAGCAGAAACCGTATTGTGAACTGTGCACGTGAGGGATCTAGGGTGCACGCTCGTTACGAGAATCTAATGCCTGATGATCTGAGGCGGAGCAGTTTTATCCCATTTCCGCCCCCTATTTGT